CCCCATACTCGCGGACCTGATGCGGAAGAACCCCTCGCTGCGAATCAAGCTCCAGAGCGTGTACGGACTTACGCTCGAGCCGCTCCCACCTGCTGCTGCGAAAGGCGGTTTCCGCCCCGGCTATAGGGGCAGAGGCGGTTTCCGCGGCGGTATGGGCGGACAGCAGCACTGGACGCCTGCGAAGGGCGACGCTGAGGCGCTGGAGCGGTTGGGAAGACTGAGGACGGATGATGGCGAGGACGGCGCGGTGGCGGAGTTTGTGAGACTTGTTGGGTTGAGGTTTGGGGAGGGGGAGTGAAAGGTGATAGGCGGGGAGTTCTGACCTGTCTTGGTCGGTGAGTATTGGATGGGATTTGGTAAGAAGCGTCACTGATCGCTGCTGCAGAACTCTTTGTCCCAGAAACTTCTGTACAACATCATGCCGTTGAAGTTGAGATCAGCGGCACACCGTCCATGATTCCAGCACTCTGTGGCCGGCGGACCGACAACCTTTCTGCCTGAAGTTGACGAGGAGTCGCCACGTCTTTACGTTCGCGTCGCCTGCAAGGAGATACCGCTACTCGGCTTGCCCTCACAGGGCCAAGCAGCAGATTGGAAGTTTGATGGACTCGATCTTGGACCAGTGAATGGCCCGATTTCCAGTCGACGAGTCACTATCTCGAGAATGCTTCAGTCTGAGAAGCTTGACTGCACAGTGCCAGCTACAATCGAGGCTACGAATGTCACCATCGCACGGATGACTGAACGTCCAGTCTAATGGTGGGAAACTTTTCGGTGACTACGGTACCACAAGTACCTCACCAGCTCGACAATTCTTTGAACAATCGATATGCTATTGTGTCAAACTTCAATTTATGTACACACACCACTGTTTTCGTACCAATCCTCAATCATCTAAGCAGTCGCGGCCGCCGCATCCTTGGACCCAGCTTCCTTCCTCAGCCGAGCCAGTGTTCCCTTTCCCGCGCGCGACTCGTTAGGCTTACCGACTTCAGAGGTGATCCACGCTCCTATCCTCGACACCTCATCAATGTCAACGCCTGTCTCGGCCCCTAGTGCATGTAGAGTGTACACCAAGTCTTCGGTGGCCACATTTCCCGTCGCGCCAGGCGAGAACGGACATCCGCCCAGGCCTCCGACTGCCGAATCGAAAGCGCGGACGCCGTGCTCGAGACCGACGAGGACGTTGACCAGTGCCTGACCGAACGTGTCGTGAAAGTGCAGGGCAATGTCTTCTGAGCGCACACCGGCGCTGCTGAGGGTGCGTAGGAGGGTGCGAGTCTTAGGAGGTGTGGCCATGCCTGTTGTGTCCGCGACAGAAATCTCGTCCGCACCCATTTCGAGAAGTGACGCGGCAAGCGATGCTACGACATGTGGATCGGTATCTGGGCCTTCGAAGGGACAGCCCAGTGCCACAGAGATGTAGGCTCTGACCCGGACCGAGGCGGCGCGCGCGGTGGATATCAGTGGCCGGAAGCGTTCGAGAGACTCGGCTATGGTGCAATTCGTGTTTCGCTTGGAGAAGGACTCTGTTGCCGCAAGGAAGATCGAGATCTCATGGGTCGGACTGCCTGAAGCGGACGAGGACTTGCTGGTGGGCATGGCATTGGCGTCGGCCGATGAAGTGTTCAGCGCGGGACCATTGTCATTCGTCGAGTCCGGCGATTGATAGATTGAATTGAACGTCTCGAGGCCGCGTATATTGGGTAGCAGCCATTGGTAGGTGATTGAAGAAGGAGAAGGCGGTGGAGAGGTGTATAGACGCTTCATGATCTCGTCCGAGCTAGCCATCTGAGGTACCCATTTCGGAGACACGAAGCTCCCTGCCTCGATCGTCTGCAAACCGGTCGTCGCCAGTCTCCTGACCAGCTCGAATTTTGTGTCCAGCGGTATGCTCTTTTTCTCATTCTGCAACCCATCTCGCGGCCCGACCTCGATGATCCTGACAAAGTCTCCATTCGTTCTCGGCGAGGAGAATGCTCTCCGTTGGTGAAGGGCGTGGGCCCGCAGAGACAGGCTTCGTGGCGCTGTGCGCGGGAGAAGCAGCTTCATGTTATCGGTGGAGAATGGTATCGGCGGAGGGGTGTGACTGACTTTAATGAGAATGAGGGAGCGGGCAGTCTGGAATTGGAGGTCGATACTCGAGTATGCATGACTTGCTCCACATTCACCAAAGCCGACAATATCCGTCAAACTTGTGGGGGATCGCCAAAACCTGCCATCATGAATCACTATTTCCTCGCTCAACCTCATCTGTCTGTCTGATATTGCGCCAACTTTATTACAGGATTTTACAGTCTCTTGTCAGCAAGACTATCGTCGCCGGTACTTGTCTCTACTGTCCCTTTCTCGGTCTCGATCGTCAGTCCTGTGTCTGGCGTGTTCTCGCTCTCTATCCCATTCCCTGTCTCGCTCCCTTTCCCGATCCCGATGCGGATCTCTCACACGCTCTCTCTCAATATCCCTCTCTCGATGCTTGTGACTGTGGTGATCATCTCGAGTGCGATCATCGCGGTGACGATGGCTCGGCCGCTCTCTTTCCGCGTCACGATCCCACGTGCGTGTGCTTTCGCGGTGGCGCTGACCATGACCTTCTGGCCGCTCTCTCCTTCTTTCTTCTCGATCATAATCTCGGTGCCGATCACGGCTCCACTTCCTGTTTCTCTCTCCGTCGGCTGATCGTTCTCGTTTCCTGTCGTGCCCTTTCTCCCGCGCTTCGTCCTTGGCCCGCCGTCCCTCCCCGTGTCCCTCCGTGCTGCTGTCTCGGTCCAAATCCCTGTCCAACTCTGCAGCCACAGACCGTGCCGTAGTACTGTTGGTGGGTCGAGCAGGGCGCTCGATGACTTCTTCGTACTCTTCCCATTCCTCCTTGAAGTAGCTTGCCACCATGTCTTTCTCCTCCGTGCAGCGTTCTATGTCCAGCATATATCGGATAGTGCCATCCTTACGATCAGTTGTGCGATTTCTGGTATTACTGCCAACACCGGGTGACGCTGTAGTGCTATCCTGCTGTGCTGGTGATTGCTGTACTGTCGAAGGCGCCGTCAACGGGTTCGCCGGCGACACTGGTGACGGTTTGACTCCATTCGTAGCGTTTCCATTTGGTACGGGCTCGTCCATTGCGGCTTCCTCGAACTCTGTAAAGCGCGGCAAATTTCCAGCGGTCGCTTCTTTGTTCAACGCAATACGAATTGCAATAAAGGCGTCGATCGCATGGTCCGGGCCCACAGAGGTTGCGTTGCGATTGTGCGTATACAGCTCCAGCAAGTCCAACAAGGACTCCATCACCTCGGCCCTGCTGGTACCCCACTTGTCCGTCATGGTTTCATGATTTCCTACCACAGCCTCAAGGCGCTCCATAGATGCTCCAAATAGTCTTGCTGCAAGTTCGACACAAGCAAGTCCAAGCGTAGAAGAGGCTTGTTTAAGGGGTGCATAGGTGCGATAGAGATCAAGGCAGATGCGGTACGCTGTCTTACCTACGGTGTCACGGTCAAATTGCCCAAGCCGAGTGAATTTAATCACCCACTCTTGCGGATTTCGGTTGCGGAAGTCGAAGCTCGAGGATTCTAGCATCAAACGCTCAATCCCGAGTAAACGTTTTGCAGGCTCTTCGAACATCTGGAGGATTAATGGTCAGCAAATGTTAATGCAAAGGAGGAAAGGTACATACCGAATCATCAGGAGCAAGGTATTCGGAGAGTGATACTTTCAGGTTGTAGGCGGCGCAGAGTATGTCCCGGGACTTCTTGAGGGTGTCTTCGATCTTGCATGCCGTGAATAAGGCAGCAGCTGCGGTATCCTAGTATCACGAATTACTCAGTGTCCACGGTTGTGACGAGACTGATCATACATACCACGTTCATAAAGTCGGCCTCCGCGTGTGCCAGTCGAAATCGATGATAATAGACCACGGCGGTCATAAAAGTTCTGACTGGTCTGCTTTGCCGTCAGGACGATGCTAGATTTGATGCATACTGAAGCCGTTAACTTACAAGTTGAGCGCTTTGCGTACATTGTCAATCCATAAGACTCCTTGCAGTCTGTTGGTGTTCTCGCGGGCCTCATTGGCGCCATTCTGTTGGAGACATTTTTGAACCGTCTGTTCGAAGATGAAGGGCTTTGCGACCTCTACGAACGACGGGTGTGGCCCTAAGCCACCGTAGAGCCCATTTTCATGGATCTCCATGATTGGCGCGGGCACCATGGTGCGATCACAGAAGCGATGAGCTCGGCAGCGCTGGCAGATGTCCTTGTGGTTGATCGAGAATGGTGTTCGAGGGGAAGGGCTACGAAGGCGTAGTCGAGCCCGGCAAATCTTGCCCTTGGGCTTTGGACTATTTTCTGCGCGCTGTTCCCTGTGAAATATTTTCGCGGGCGAGGTGATGGTTGTGCGACTTGAATTTGTGCAAAAAATATCATCGATCTCTTTCAAGAAAATTTCTAGATGCTAGATTTTGGACAAGGAACTTTTATGTTGTGGCGCTGTACGATGATCAATATAGCAAGCCGAATGATCGGGCAAGTGCAATCAAGCTTGAATCCGCTCCGACAAGGGTGCTCTCTAAATTCCACAGATCATCTGCGCAACCTCACAGTACTGCTATTCGTCATGGTGCAAATGTGTGTAGATAGTGAGGTAAAAGTCTCATGATCGACCAATGACCAGTAACAAGTCTGCGGGGTACAGAGTAGCGACACCATGGATAGCTGAGTACGAGTATCTGTATACAATCGTGGAGCAAAGTGGAAAAGAATGGTGCGAATGATAAGTGTTACTTGCGCGTTCAATCGCTCCGAAAGTTTAGAATTCCCAAGTTCATCTGCCATATTGCTGCAATGCAGATACGCCCCCAACCAGAAAACGAAAGTAATTTGAGAGTAACGACAGCCATGCCCATGGACTAATTCATATCGCAATCACCACAAAATTTTATTTTTATGATGAAGTATATATACGTACATGTCACTCACCAAGTCATCTCAAGCAGATAACAAGATCCTCTTTAGCTCAGTTGGTTAGAGCGTCCGGCTGTTAATAATTCCGCAACCGGGAGGTCCGAGGTTCGAACCCTCGAAGTGGAGGTTCTATTCTTTTTTCCCTTCAATTTTTGCACCACCTTCCATACACCTATGGTTTCTTTTTCTTTTGTTTGATGAGAATGAGATGCGTTTTCCGGTCTTCATGATATTCTGTTATTCACTCTGACAATTTTTTCTCTCATTTCTGTACATATCTGTACAAGCCGGCTACTGCTCGCCTTCATCATGGTTGTGGGGAAAATTGTTTTAGACACATCAAATTGGTAGGTGATTTGGCATTATTCACGAATCATGCTCTAAGGTATCTTTCTCCTAAATCCTACACGGTCTATGCTTCGATAGCCACTGCATGACATCGTCACTGTCTGGCTTCTGTCTCGCCAAACGCATACCATTATCACCACCTATATAGAGCGCCGGTATGACCTATTCAATATCCATAATTTCTCGTCGTCTCGGCGTCCAGTCGTCAGATTTCAAACACCTCGCTGTAGCCGCCGACTGACACCCCCTCAGCACCGTGAGCGGCAGCAGAGAGGCCGTCCGCTTGACCAAATACGCGGATAGGCACGTTTACTTCCCACGAATCTGCAGCGAGTCTTTCGCGCGCAACCAGGATCTGGCCTCTGTCATCGGTCGAGAAGGGCTCGAGCAAGCCGTCCGCTGCAAGGAACATGTCTTCTCTAGACAGCGTACGATTCGGAGCGCCAAACGTGGTAGCAGCAAGGCTGTGATTCACCAAGTCCAGATTCTCGTCTTCTGCTTCCTCTTCGTCCTCATCGGCTGGCTGTTCGTCGTCGTTGGCGGTCAATTGTAGATGCGATGGGTCTTGTAGAACGGAAGTCGTGAACTCGACACGTATGCGCCACTGGAGCTGCACGCCAGATGTATCAAATGATGGCGTGGCTGCGGTCGGTATTTCCAATCCGACACCGACTTGACGAGCGAAAAACACAGTCCGGGTAACTGCAGCGTGAGCTTTACGTGTTGCTCGCAAGACGGATGCCGGTCCACGAAGGGCGAGAGAACTGTCAATCTTCTCCAATGACTCAAGAGAGATAGTTACTAGATAAGTATGTTGGTCGAGTGGTGTGCTTTCGGGGGGATGAAAATCGATCTTGACATGCACGGTCTCACCGAGTCGAAAAGCAGGGCGAACAATGGTGAGAACGCCGACGTGCTGTCCCGATCTTGCGATGGTGAAGCGATTTGTAGAAGGCGCCGAGACATCATTGTGCGGTCCTAAGGTCTGGTTCGATCGTAGAATCGCCAGATCGATGCGCTCTTTCATCGTCCGCGCTTGTGGAAGATCCGTTGAGAAGCGTCTGTTATGTGTGATTGCTGTTGGAGAAATTAGAGGTGCACCAGCGGGTCGTTCTTCCATCAATTGCTGCGTATATTGCAGGAAGTCATCCATGGTTCCATCACTTGTCTCGGAATTTTTCCTCCGCTCGATTGCGGGAAAATACTGAGCCGCATCTTGGGATTTAGACAACGAAGCCGTCCTCGCTGTATCCTGCAACAGTATGTACGGAGACATCAGATCGTGTCCAAGTATCTCGCCATCACCTTTATGTTTTCAGCAAATTTGTCAACGATCAACCTGCGTTCACTACTCACGATTTACGCTGCCGAGTATTCGAAAGGGTATCTCGACATCCGTGATGTTTCTGCTCTCAGCAGAGCCAGATCGCTGGACCGCTATTCGCAGGTGATAGGCGACCTTGATTGCTCTACCCTTGTGCGTTGGAGGAAGTCCTTTTGGGATCTTGAACCTGTATGTATAACTCCTGCTCTCGCCCGGTGCAAGACGGAGATCCACGAAAAGAATAGACTGAGGCGTGCTCAGTAAGGGAACATTCTTCATGCTGGCCGCATTCTTCATCTCGCGCATACTGCTCATTTCGTCCATGCCCAATAGACCAGTCAAGCTTTCGCCAATGTTGCTCCAGCCGAAGGCTCCTAGTAGTCCGCTCTGTCGTTTCGATCTTTCGACGCCGACAACGCCCCCTCCCGCTTGGCTACTGACGACGCCTCGTCGTTTGACCTCCTCGAAGGGCCCTTGGTTGACCAGCGACCCATCTACGCTGAAAGAACCTTTCGTCTGCACGTAACCCATCATGAGATGCTCTGGCTGGTCTGCTTTGCGTGGATTCTTGCGCTGAGATGACTGACGTGAGAGCGGTGGACGCGACATGAGATTATTATTGGAAGGCTGGGACGGGAACTCGGAATTGATCGTCTCCTCGGATACGTTGCTCATGGTATAGATGTCACTACTTGTCCTGGACGTGCCATTTGCGCTGGGATCTGAGAGCACTCGAGACATAGAATTGATCGATGCTATACCCAAGCCGGATGGACGTTCAGGCATTTCCGGCGTCAAGACTTGTGACGGCTTGCGGCTTCTGACCGGAGCAGTCTGGGCTGTGGGAGGTGTGTATTCAGGACCGCTGCGCCCTGGCTCTTCGCGAGGAAACCTGTATTCTGCAGTCATAGTCCCGGAGCGGCTGCGCTCACCTTGCGGCAGTGCAGGAGTGGTCGGAGCTGTGTTGGGAGTCGAGCGGGGCTGTTGAGATCGTAGACCACCAAAAGCTGCGCCATTGGCGTCTTGCCGTAGAGCTGGACTATTAGGGTTGCTAAAGCCGACTTGACGATGTAAGCAGGCCATCTTCGAACAAAGACGCTCGTTGTCTCATACCCATTCTCGGACTGCCATACGCCGAGCCTCGTGGTGTCATCTGCAAACTGGCTGATCTTGCATGACATCCTGGCCGCCCTGGGCTAGCGGGACTGTTCCTCGACCCTGCAGGACTTCCATTTCCCGTACCAATTGACAATATAGAGAGGGAACGACCGTGGGCCTTGGGGCGTCGCTGTATGAAAGCATGATCGGTAGGAGGAGTGCTAGGCTCTACACCAAGTGACAAAGTGGCTCGATGACCGGGTCGTTGAGGAGCAGTCGAGGCGCTGGCAACGGAGGGTAATCGCGCGAGGGTGGTCTTCGTAAAGGTTGTGGAGAGGGTCGTGTTCCTCTGACGCTCCAGTATAGGCTGTAAAGGGTCAAGCCTGGAGCGAGGCCGTGGCTGCGCCGCGTCTCTGTCTCGCTGCTGGGGAGTGCGAGCGACGTTCTTGAAGGTTATGACGCATTCGATATCTTCGCCCGCAAAGACCGAGTGATCCCTCCACTGGACGTAGGTGCGGAGGTGCGAAGGCATGTCGGCGATAGAGATAGAGTGAGCTCAATAGCTCGAGGCGGCAGCTCCGCGGCGCTTCTCATGTTGCCAAGGGTGTTAATCGCGTTTTCCAAGGCCCAAGCGGCATGTTGGGAGACTGGAGCGAGCTTGTCGAGGTTCCAGCACCGGGCAGTCCACAGAGAGGCCCCGAAGGTACGGATCGAGCGTCTGGAGGCATGACGGCTTCTCGAAGCGTGTCAGAACGCCAAGCCCATACAAAGGAACTACACTAGAGGATAATGCTAGAACGATACTAGCTGGCACAATCATCTGAGTTAAAGATTATGGTGTAGAGCACATAAGCTACATACGTCGTAAGACTCTTTCTACTGTTTCTAAGACTCGCGATCCGAGATCTACAAGAATCTGTGCGACATACGCAAGGCCGGCCTTGGTGGTGAACGGGGTCGGGGTTTCGCAGCTTCAGCTTCGGCTTCCGCTTGGGCGGCCCTGGCAAACAGTTCCTCTGGTGCTCGATGTTCAATCCATCGCTCCCCACCTCCTGCTCCGATTGCTCCTCCATCTTTCCTCCACGACGGTGCTTCGCCGTCCGTATCCTTTCCAATGCCGCGCTCGCGCCATTTCTTAGGCGGCCTGACACCTTGCGAAGCCATTTCTGCCCACTTCTTCTCGCCGCGCTTCTCCCATCGTTCCCTGCGCTCCGCTGCCTCCGCTTCAGTCGGTTGCCATTTGCTCCTAAGGATCCGGCGTATGGCATCCGGGGAGATCTGAAAGTATTCTGCGAGTCTCTCCGTGCTATATACGGTCGGGTCGCTGGAATGCAGAGATCTTACCCCGGCGATGGCATCTGGAGAGATTCGTTTCCTGGGGTTCCATGCCTGTTCGCCAAATTTGGATTTGAGAGCGGCTTTTTGGACCTGCCATGCCTCTTGTGGAGTGCTGCGCTGTGACTGCAAATTTTTGAGGTCTATCCTTTTGAACGTCGAGTTTTCATCCTTAACCTTTTTCGGAGCCAATGCTCTAGCACGCTTCCGTTCTGCTGTTCGAGTCTGTGCATGTCGCACTTCTTCGAATATCGACTTGACTTGATCAGCCTCAACGTCGAGCGCTTTGGCGCTCCTGTTGAGCTCTCGCTTCGAGGCTGGGGAGGTTGAGTGGGCCGCTGCCTCGGTCGCCTCTTTCGCTCGCGTCCGTCTCAGCTTTCGATCTTTTCGTCGGTCTACCCTCGTCCTCATCGGTGGGATGATGTCTAACCGCAGCTGATCCATGTGCGAAGCGAGATTGCGCATCTCTGGGCCAATGAGGTGCAGTGATGGAAGCAAGACCTGGTCGATCGTGGATGCATGTTCTGATCTGTAATTTTGCTCTTCTAAGCTTTGCTGCGATACGTGGATGTCATCCACCAAAACCTCGCCTATTTGTTCAAAAGTTGAGTGTTGTAGCACATCCTCAACGATAGAAAGCTCAGGCTCAACCTGGACAGCTTCCCTCCCTAATTTCCTTTGTGGCAGAGGCCATTCTACGGTCGTCCTTCGATCCAGAGGCGGCGTCAGGGCATTTGGCGGGCCGAAAACGAATGGAATGAAAGTGTCATCGGACGGCAGTGTCGTGGCCGATGCTAAGTGTCCTGACTGCAGAGACGAGGTCTGTTGGAACGGCAGACATGACCGCGTGCTGAGAGATCTAAGCGACCTAGGCCGGAAGTTTGCGCCGGAAGAGCGAATAGCAGCGCAGGCCGCATCACAGCCCACACTCTGGCGTACGAATGCCTCGATGGCCCGTACGGAGCATACCGGGCGATTCATGAGGCAAAGAAAAGAGTGCCGATGACACAAATCAATGTTG